ATGAAGCCCTTAGCAAACATGCCGCTTACAGACAAGATGCCGTAGATCTGTGCCAGGGGAACCCACATTGTTGAACGCGTGGATACAGACGCAGTCGCCTCTCTCCAGTTTCCGGGACCGGAACCCGGCGATGAGGTGCCTGATCAGAGTCTTAGCCTGCCTCGAGCTGATGGAACGGCTTGGGTCGACGGGGTCAATGTAAATCTGGGGACGCAGTTGAGTTATGAGGAGCTTCGAGTGAGTGATTGGCCAATGCTCACCGGTTCATCTTGTGAATACTTAACATCGTCAAAGATCCACGAGAGAAGGTCTTTTGCCGGTATGTCCACCGTCTGTGTTGGCTGGAAAAACACCTCCTGGTCCATCTCCGTATCTCGTCACGTTATTGAGGATGGGGAGGCTGGAAATATGGAAGAATTCGTTAGCTTGAATACTCTGATGGTTCACAGTTTCAAGATGAGATTGGCCCGATTTCTCGCATAAATACGACGCAGAGATGTCGGTGTGTTGTATTTCTAACACACACGCCGTGAAGTTCTGGCGAGACGCGAGGAAGTGTTCGGGCCGATGCTATCCACTGGTCACCGAGGGGGTATGTACTTGTGGCACTCGTTCAGTAAGTGGGTAATGGAAGCTATCGACACGATTGATCTCTTGCTAGGTTACGGCGAGAGGGCGTTCAATTCTTGGGTACACGCATTCACGAACCCCGGCCACTCTTCTCCGAATACTTAGCAGCTGGCTGACATGTATAGCACTACAGTATCGAGCTAGATGCCTGGGATTGAACCATGGGTTGAAAGAGGAAGATGATTCTTGTTCCTTACTCTCTCTGTCTCTCTCTCTCTCTCTCTCTCTCCGCGCACATACAAATTGGGATCAGGGCCGAATTTTGACGGATCGCCCTGTCTCTAGCTGTAATAGCTCATTCCACCTCGTACCTCATCCCATGTCTCCCAAGTGCTTCTGATGATAGAAGACACCAAAAGCCCTCCTACATCCAGTGTGTCTAACGATATACCCTCCAACAAACAATCAATGCTCTTACGTCTAGCTTCTCCATAGAGATGGTCTAGGATAGAGTGTTTGTTTTGAGATCCGCGTTGACCACTTCGTGCTCTGAGAATACCGGTTCTTGCTCTGAGGCTTTCTCGAGAGAAGCATCATCGGCAAGAGGTGCCAGATCTTCGACCACTACATCTCCAAAGGCCTTGCTGATCTGCTCTAACGTGAGTCCCTTGGTCTACAGTGTCTCAGTTAGTATTCGAGTTTCCGTTTCCATCAGTAGAAGGGTATATTACCTCTGGGAAGAAGAACTGGACGACCAGTGCCATCACGGTGGTGAAGCAGATGAAGACGAGATAGAATTTCCTGGCGGGTGTTGTTGTTGTCAGTATCTCCGCCGTTCAGGTCTCTTTCCCTCCTCAATGACACACTGGAGACGAAAACATACCATTTTATGTTCTCAAAGGCTATTGCAGCAGCGCCGTTCAGGATCGCCGACCAGATCTGAACGGCGGACAGAGAGACACCTACCCCCGATGCTCTCCACGCGGCAGGGAAAATTTCAGCCGAGTACACAAACGACGGACATTCAACCCCTGCCGCGAAACTTGGTACGGCGTCAGCGTCACTCTGGAACCGCGAAGGTTTCAAACTCACAAGCACACAAAGAGGAAGATGAAGAAGGTGGCTGCAGAATTCGCAGAGTCGTTGTCTGAGCCGGAGTATAACGCACTCAAAATGACCGACATGACAAGGCAGAATAAGCAGCCCAGAAGTCCATACACTGTTAAGCTTGGTCAGTGACTGTGAAGGGATCGCTCAGGAAATATACCTTACCGAGCTGGTGAACGCGGCCAATCTTGTCGGTGAGTATGCCACCAAGTAGATTGAAAATCATCAGGAGGAGTGTCCAGACACCAGCGAGGATGCCTTGAAGGAACGGGCTGAAGCCCAATCCGCCATATATGACGGACGAATATGCTGACGACTGTTTAGTTCATCATATCGACTTTCGATCCGCAAGTAACCACCCCAACTTACTCAGAATCACAATGGAGCCACTAGACTGCGACGCCGTGTTGACCAAGAACCCAAAGATGAAGCGCTTGCGCATGTGGGGGTCCTTGAGACCTTCCCAGACGGTCCGCTTGCGCTCTGCTTCGAGGTCGAGCTGTGCCTTGATGTTCTGAAACTCGCGGTGTGCATATGAATGGGAGGGGTCGGATTTATCCTGATGGAGTCGCACCAGAGTCTGCTCTGCCTCTTTGACGCGGCCGTTTAGGTATACTAAGTCGAGTCAGGTCTCTTGCGCCGCAGATAGGAAGAAGCAAACTCACGCCAACGGGGACTCTCCGGCAGCAGAGGGATAATGCATAGCAAAGCCAGAGGCGAGACGCACTGGATGGCGAGCGGCACCCGCCAGCCTGCCTGGCCGTTCACATGGAAGAATGCCACGCCGATCCATTGTGCGACAGTAAAGCCTGCTCCCACAATTCCTGCGTGAAGTCCAACCAGAAAGCCCCTGTTATGTGCCGGGGCGACTTCGGCTTGGTACAGCGGGCAACCAGGGAGGAAGTGGCCAATTCCTATACCGGTGACGACGCGTGCCACACACATCATGGCGTTGTGCACCGCGCCGGCTTGCAACGCCCCACCCACGATGACGAAGATAGATCCCACGCCTAGCGGAATGCGTCGACCGAATCTCGAGGAAGAAAGTGGATAGAGGCAACACCCGATGAAGCCTCCCACGTACAGTAAGGCGCTGAATGCCGCGACAAGACTGTTTGTGTGAGACACGCCGGGTCCTTCGAGAGCGAGGTCCAAGTATTCGTAGAACTCGACGTGGCTAAAGATGTTGGCCATGATGGACGCACAGTAGCCGTAGCTGAAGCTGCCCAGCGTGACGGCCAGGACGACCTGGACCGAGTCAGTTGACAGCGACCCGAAACGAAACGATTGGAGGGGCAAAGGGGCTTAGCTGTACCAGGATGTTGTATGTAGATGTGACTTCGCCCATGGTGCTCGATCGACCAGATCAATAACTCATTCGGTGTCTGCAAGGATAACGACAGGGCTGACGTCCGGTTCAGGAGGTATTTAAGGACGAGGCAGGCCTCGGCGGGTTACCTGGGAGACCCAGGACGTAAGGTACGACAAGAGAGGTACACCTTTCTGGACTATACCCCGGGTTCGGCTTTATCATTCCCCTCAATACTCCAGGAAAAGGACTCGGCACCGACTTTGTGCTGTACCTCATTGGGGCTAATATGAAGCTGGGGTATGGAGGGCACTGTGTAACGGTCCGGTTTGCCCCCTAATTTGGCCGTGTAAAAGCCAACATCATGACAGCGGCTGATAAACTATATCTCTTGGAGCATGGGTGTGTATCTGGATCAGACTCTGGGGAGTTTCTGTTTAATACACGCCCGACGACAGAGCCTAGAACATGACTTGCCCCCAGGAGCCTGTATCGGATTCTAGGTCTGTAAAACGCGCCGTACGAGATAAACATTGCTAACAAGTTGAGGACGGCTTTTGAGGGAGTCTGACCAGCTCTCCAGGACGTCAAGGAAACAAGCATTTACAAGAGGCCAAGACTGAAATACAGGGCATCTTCGGCGCTGCTTTATGTTCGCCTTGATCAATGCTTGAATGATTTGATGGGGGTTAGAATGGCAACGTGTAGCCACAATATCCCTGCAAATAATCCACCTCGCTGGTCCTAATCTCTGATTGAAGATATCGAGTAGTTGGTAACGACAAACCACCTAGTTGACTTCGGCCCAGTTGACCTCACCATGTAGAAAAGTGAGCTCGCACACCGGCTAGGGTTTGTATGAGATTTGTGAGTATTTAAAGCCTTCGAATACTCCCTCCAAGTGGATAATATTGGCATCTAGGTTGATCTCTCCATCTGTCTATGACTCCAGTACATTGGGACAAAACTGGCAGACTAGAATGCCACCAGGCTATTCTGAAAGAACGAGATATCTCACTCGGCGAAGAGAGAGGTGGGAGGATTCGTGGCGTTGGCCGAGCATCGGTGCCGCACATTCGGCGCCGAGGTGTGGAGATCACAGCCATTGCGAGTTTGGATCTCGCCCTCTTCGATCAAGCGACGGCACGTTCTTTCCGTGCATCATTCCTTGTAATGACCGAGGCGAGGTCCCAAGGTTCCCCCATTTCGGATAAGCGGCATCATGGGTGAGCGCTGAGCACTGTTCAAGTCCCATACTGGAGCACGAATAAGGTCTAGTGACATTGGTACCTCTTGGACTTGTACATCGTGTGTGTAACAGGGCATGACGCCTGGGGATGCAAGACTAGCGAGGCTGGTGAGTTCAGGGGTTCCCCGTGATACCCCATCAACCCGCCAACCCGGCACCCCCGCCTTTCCCCCCCGATTCGCCTGGGACACGTGCAGCGCCCTGAACCCCTCGTCACCCGCCACCTACCATCTTGACCTCTTCGCTGATGATTGTGTGGCTGTATACTGATCTTCACCTCCGTCTCAAGCAATGGACTCTCTCGACAACGGCTTCCAACAGCGTCGTAGCCTCGACCAGAACCCGGTAAAGAGACCTCGGGCCTGCATTCACTGCCATGTGCGCAAAGTGCGCTGCAATGCGTGGCAGGTGGGAATTCCCTGTACAAGATGCAAGCGTCGCGACCAGGCCAATACATGCACGTTTCTACAAACCACGCTAGGAGGAGTGGCTAGGTGAATGCAACCGCCTGAACCACCTCATCGTTGACTGCTGCTGACACGCTGAACCCGCCCAGGACATCTGCAAAGCGCCAACGACGCCTACATGACACATCAGCTGTTGACCACTTGTCCTCCCGTACATATGGGGAAAATATCTTGGACCCGAATCTCCTAGTAAGATCGAGCATAAGCTCGGATTGAACCCAGTAGTTGACTTTCCGGGTAGTTCCAGCCGTCTCTCCCGCCGCCGCCACCGCTGGAAGAACCGCAACCTCAACAGGACATGCCGGCGAGAGAGTACAATGATGCCACCAGTGAACCGGTGCAGCAACAAGACGGCCAACAAGGACGGGACTCTAGTGTGAGACCGTCTCCGGCGGCCACTGAGCAGGCTGCCAGCATTAGCAGCACGGTGGACTCGGCCACCAAAGAAGAGGACGTCCATTTCCGTATTTGTGAGGAGATGTCGCGGCCCAGGCAGGTCGCCCTCTCGCCTTCTCCCCAATCTCAAAATACGGACCGACATGAGGTGATTGAGCTGCATGAAGGCGTGAATCCGATGACCATCCTCGGCGAGGCTCTGGGGCGGCAGCATCCTAATCGCTTTGTCAGGGTCATAGTCGAGGACAACCACCCCAAGTCCTATCCGCGACAATACATTGCCGGGTTTGACTATGCCGACGTGGTGTATCTCGAGGCCAAAGGCGGTCTCAGCTTACCCCCTCGACCCATTCGGTGAGTCTCTGCATCGTCGTCATTAATCCATTACGCACTCCCTAATGCCTCGAGCTAGCGATGAACTGCTCCGGTTGTACTTTTCACATGTCTATCCTTACGCTCCGATCCTCGATCGAGTCAAGTTCATGCAGGACTACGCTGCGGACCAACACTCGACCTTTGTCCTGCAGTCTCTTTTCGCCAACGTCGTCCCGTACGCTCCCGAGCACCTCCTCCGACAGGCCGGGTACGAGGACCGGATCACGGCGCAGAAACAGCTCTACGCCAAAGCCGCGCTGCTGTACGACATGGGATACGAGAAGAACCAGCTATACCTGCTGCAAGGGTCCATAATGCTCAGCTCCCTGTCCTTTTCGTACGCCATCGACAAGGACTACCGGTACTGGCTCACCAACGCCGGACGGATCGCGACCCAGATGGGGCTTCATCGGAACTACGTGTCCCAGAATCTCGGGAGGCGCTCCAAAAGACTCTTCCGCAGCATCTGGTGGGTTCTGTACGATCGGGACACGCTGCTGACCATCTCGGGCCTCGACAACCTCAAGCGGTTCGACGAGAGGTACTGCGACACGGCACCCCTTGAAGAATCGGACTGGGAGGACGAAGACGAAGTGCCGGCCGAGTTTCGAGACATCCTCCCGCCGGTGACGCGGGTTCAAAAGGCGTTCATGATGGAGTATAGCAAGTTGTCAATCATCAGTAAGCTTGGCCCAGCCCCCATCTCCCAAGCAGAGGCGCGGGCAAGAGTAGACAATAGAAACAAAAAACGTGGATCGTCAAGCTGACCAAATGTGCCCGAACTCGGTTTGTCAGGCGGGTATTTCATTCGCGATTTCAAGACGCCAGCCAAACCACCGACTTTTGTCGAGATTGACCGGCTGAGCAATCAGATCACGTCGTGGAGAAAACAGCTCCCCCTCGAGATCATCCACGCCTTGCAGGACGAGTGGACGCCCGACCACGTCCTGATCCTGGTCTTGCTCGCCATGGGGTACCGCCTCGAGGCGGTCTTTGCCCGTGCGGCCAAGGACCATTACCGGACCAGTGGCAGCAGCAGTGGCGGCGACGTGGGGTGCGTGCAGCGTATGGCGCAGCGCCAGGAGAATGCCATGTTTGAGCTGTCCACCATGATCCAGCGCGCCTCGCTGCACGATGTTCTCCATCTGTGCCCTCTATCCTTGTAAGCACGAGCCCTCGCACTCCTTTTTCCCTCGCTCTTTCTTCCGGCCCCCCTTTCTCCATTTCTCATCTCTCCTTGCTTCTCGCCATCTAGACGACGTCGCACCCACTGACGAAAAGTGCGGGAAACAGTATGACATGTGCCTGCACGATCCTTGCCATGCGGATCGAGATCGCCCTCGACCCGAGCACCAGCCCGCACAAGCAGCGCGCGACCAAGGCGCAGATCTTGGCCGAGCTCGAGCACGTCCGCGAGAGCTGCAAGTACTGGAACAGCCTCATCTGGACCGTGCGCATGTTCGAGGCCGTCATCGCCCGAACCCGACTCGGCCCGGTTGGCGCGAACGGCACGTCGTTGTCGCCTAATGGGTCTTCAGAGGCGGAGGTGGACGAGGAGGCGGCGTCTGTGAGTCACAACGGGGTAGGTCCCGGCGGCGGTGGTGGTGAGGGTGGTGGAGGCAACGCCTCACATCGTAGGATGGAGCAAGCGCCCAACGACCTGCTCGAAGGCGTCAGGGACCTCGACGCCGGAGCCCAAGTTACCGACGACGTCTTTGGCATCTTGCCCGTCACCGACGACTATGACTGGCTCGAAGGCCTCTTTGGAGCGCCACGCAGTGACGTTGGGGACCCGGCAGTCGTCTTTTAGATTATGACAAGGCTGTGTGTATACAGGAGGGGGAGACCGGTCCAACCTGTTCAAACTGGTGATAATAAGTTCTATTTTGTCTCTGGGTATGGATTCAATCAATAAATCTGATGACGCAAGCCCTTCTTCATCCCACAGCCAGCTCCAGCTAGCCAGCCCTCAAAGAGGCCTGGCGCAAACCCCATCTCTCATCCGTGTTACTTGTCTGCCACCACATTTAATAGCACGTCCATCTCTCCCAAAAAAAAGAGGCCCGATAAGCCCAGAAATATTGTAAGCCATTGCTCTTATATATATACGTGTATTTCTCTCTCTTTCAGTAAACCGGGTCCGGAAACGACTGGGGCTGCCTGTCCTTGCCGTCCAACAGGCCATAGTACCAGGTGAGATCGCGGCCGTCGAACTCGCGGGTGTCGAAGCCGTTGCCGAGAAAATTGAAGCGGTTGGACGAGAGGTAGTCGAGGTCAAAGTCCTCCCAGCGCGGGGTCTGCAGGACGGTGAGGTAGTGGACGCGCGAGCCGGGCCAGCACAGGGGCTTGTTGGCCGGGTTGCCGTTCTTGAACCACGAGCTGCAGGGGCCCGACCACGCCGTCCGCTGCAGGTACAGGTCCGCGTGGCGGGTGAAGGCCTCGGCGACGCGGCGGTTGACCCGCACGCTCTTGACGTCCTCGACCTGGACCTTGGACAGGACTTGGATCACGTAGTTGGTGTAGGCCTCCACCATGGGGATGATGGACCCGTGGCCCAGCGGGCCGTACGCCCCGATGAAGATGAAGTGGTTGGGCACCTCTGGCGCCGCGAGGCCCAGGTACCCGACCACGTCGCCGCCACCCTTGGGGAACTCGTCCTGGACGTTGGCCCCGTCGACCATGATGGGGAACGTCGGCCGGAAACTCGTGTCGAACCCCGTCGCGCAAATCACCACGTCGACCTCGTGCGCCCGGCCCTGTCCGTCGACGAAGCCGTGGCTCGTCACCTCGCGGATCTCCTCGGTCAACACGGTCGTCTTGTCCAGCGTCAGCGCCTCGAGGAACCCGTTGCCCGGCGTGGGCCGGCGACACCCGACGCCGAAATTTTGCGGGATCAACTTGTCCATCAGCTCGGGCTTCTTGGCCAGTTTCCGCTGCATCTCCCCGATCGAATACTCGCGGGCCTCTTTGGCGTCCGCCGACCCGTTGATGTAGAACTTGAACCGGATGTTCAGCTCCGACTCGATCGCCTTGCAGTACGCCAGGTAGAACTCGGGGTCGTCTCGGAACCGCTGATGCGTCTCCTTGGAGTAGGCAAAGTTCTCGCCGTTGGGCCCGGCGTACGTGGGCGCGAACCCCGCCGTGACCCAGATGGGCGACCTGGCCACTACGTACAGCTGGTCGACTTTGTCGATGATGGTCGGCACCACCTGGACGCTGGAGCTGCCGGCCCCGATGATCAGGACCCGTTTGCCTTGCAGGTCGGCCTGGTCGTCCCAGCGCGCCGTGTGCAGGAGCGGGCCCTGGAAATCGTGCAGACCCTTGATCTGGGGCCATTTCCAGTTGTTGAGAACGCCGCCCCCGTGGATGAAGAAGTCGGCGTAGTCGACCACGACGTCGGCGGGGTCCTCGTTGCGCATCACTGTCACCTTCCACCTCCCTGGGCCCGCGAGCCACTCGGCGTGCACGACCTTGTGGTTGAGCCGCGCGTACTTGAGCACGTCGTAGTCCTCGGCGATCTTGCGGAAGTACTGGTAGATCTGCTTGGAGCCAGAGTAATACCGCTCCCAGTCGGGCGACTTGGCCCAGCTGTACTGGTAGCAGACGCTGGGGATGTCGCACGCGCACCCGGGGTACCGGTTTTCCAGCCAGGTGCCGCCGATGTCGTTGTTCTTCTCGTAGATGACCAGTTCGACGTCCGTCATGCGCTGCGAGAGCTGATGGGCAAAGTTGATCCCGCTGCACCCCATGCCCATGAAGATGATTTTCAGCTTGCGTCGTGTCCCCATGGGGGTCTCCCGGATCTTGTACGCCGTCTCGTCCCCGTTAAGGTGGCCATTTTGGAGCGGTGCTGCATCGGCCGTCGCGGGAGAGGTCAGCGTGGGCATATGGTCAGAACTAGACATCGTCTTGGTCTTTTCCACGTTCTCGTTTGGTATATCGGCCGTGGCTGGGTGTGCCTGTGCCACGGAGGGAGTCATCGTCCAATAGACACACAGTTGACAGCTGCTTCTGGTATTGCCACGATAGTCTCTGTTCGTTTGGAAAAAGGAAACAAAAGAAGGGTCCAAGACTTGCAGCTTGTGATATACAATGGATAGACGCGACAATTCGGCTTGAAAGGAGAGAGCAAAAGGGTCGGCCAGCACAGAGTGAGAAATCATACCATATCCAACGAGCAAGTAGTCGAGATTGGCCCCATTCTTCCCCGTTCGGCGTTGCCATGCCTCGTATGACACCGATGGGGACGTGTGTATGTTGTCTGCAAGGACCTAGAGAAGGCGAGATCGTCCACCGCACCCCCGCTGAACCCTGTTCTACGCCGAGCTTGGGTCATCTCGGTGCGCCGCATGGGGGGACCGAATAGACTGCACTGTCCCGTAGGACTGGCTTCGGTCTCATCTTTGACGCCGCGCAGGACACCGCAGGGGCCTCGTGGCGAATGCCCCTTCGGTATGCCGACTTTATCTCAAAGTTTTCTTAGTTATGCGAGTGTTGGAGGTGTGGAGGAGTGTTTTCTTTTAGCCTCGGCGACTTTGTTCTCTGCCACTCGTCGTTGAAACGAATTATTAGTTGCCCAAAGCGAGCAAGTGGTTTTCTCTGATGAGGATGGTCATTTTCACAGCTGCTCAGTCTTTCGGAGTGCCCTTACTAAAGATCCTGAGGTGAGAATGACACCAGACGGAACTATCGCTTTTTCCAATGCCATAGATGGAGCATGCAAGAGTCTTGGGCCTCACATGTTTTATTTCTAGTCTAGTTGATAGTCATCTCTTTTAGCCAACCTTCCCTTAACCACCCTCTAATAGTCCTTGACTCATAGCTTTGCAGAGCTCTTGGCCGTGTCTGTCTTGGACTTCTGCAACAGCCGTCTCATGACCTTGCCGCTTGGAGTGCGAGGAATGGCCTCGATAAAGTGCACTCCAGCTGTCAACCATTTGTGCCTCGACAGCCGCGCCTCGATATAATCCTGGACTTCCTTGGCCGTCACTGTAGATCCTGGTGCCCTCACCACAAACGCCTTGGGGTATTCGCCGTCTCGTCTAGAATGTGTCAGAAGAGGCTGTACACAGCAGCGAAGGTCCGCAACATGTGAAAGGTGGGAGGCTTGAGATGGCTTACCTCTTCTCACCAACGACTGCTGCATCGGCGATGCCCTGGTGGGTCAAGAGCACTTGCTCGATTTCCGCTGGGGCCACTTGAAGGCCTTTGACCTTGATGAGTTCCTTTTGATCCGTGTTACCGTCACTATACCAGAGTCATAAGTTGGCGTCCTCAAACCTACCTTGAGTCGATCGACAATATACAGACAGCCCCTGTTGTCGATATAGCCAACATCGCCGGTCTTCAGCCACCTGGTGGCATCATCGTCGTAGACGATGGTTTCCATTGTCTCCCGCGGCCTCTTGTAGTAGCCCTTCATGACGTTGGGTCCGGCGATCCATATTTCACCCACTGTATACGGGATCTCTGTTGACTGCTCGAAGCCATGCTCTGGCACCGGCACGATCTTGGCCGACACATTGGGGTTGAGCCAACCGATGGACCGGCCGTCGTCCTCGTCGTCCTGAGCAAACCCCGTGGCCGAGCATGTCGTTTCGGTCAGCCCCCAGCCTTGCTTCACCTGGACGCCAGGCCGCAAATGCGTCTTTTCGACCAGTCTGCCAATTTCCGGGTTCAACGGCGCCGAGCCCGTGACAACCGACTCGATGGCCTTCAAATTGTACGCCGTCGCGTTCGGGTGTTTGGACAGGGCGACCATCAAAGTGGGAACTCCCGTGAGGAAGGTGATGCGATAAATGTCGAGGAAGAGCAGGTACCGCTCGATGCTGTACTGCATCATGATGAAGACCTTGACACCCATTCGCGCCGCCGTCACGCAGTAGTACATTTGACCCTATCTGGCGCGTGAGTAAAAGGGAACAATATGCTAGAAGAAGAAGTATTCGGGGAGCTTCGGCTCACATAGGCATGAAACATGGGCAGAGGAGCAAGCCAGCGCTCGCCCGAGAGATCGATCCGGGCTTTGCGCTCGCGAGCGCGCGTCGTGTCCGCCACCATGTTCCGTTTGAATATAACCTGGAGGGAGTTTGCAATGACATTTTGGTGCGAAATTTCGACACCCTTGGGGGTTCCAGTCGTGCTGGTTCAGTGATTCAGTCACGTTAGCCCTGTGGTTGTCGCAGTCTCGTCCAACATTAAGAAGACATACATACCCGCTGGAGTAGTTGATTGCAACCGTCGTTTCCCGAGCTTCTTTGGCTGAAGATATCCTCTTCCACGTCCATGTCGCGCTTTCTTCCTCCGTTGCCCAGATGTCGGTCCACGACGGTAGTCCGCTCTGGGTCCTTTTGTCCAGAGGGTCGGCAAATTCAAACACTCTGCCCCTAGGGATGCCCACCTGCGCCGCGGCTTCTAATGCCGTCCGGACGCCCGCAGCGCTCGTGATGATCAGTTTCGCATCCGAGTCCTTTGACTGGTAGCTGAGCTCTGAGATACTGAGCGATTAGCTGGAGTTCCAAACCCGCTCCTCCCCTCCCTCATTTTCCTACCTGTCACTGAGGCGCTGGGACTACACCCCGTAAACACGCACCCCGCTGCGACGGTGCCCCAGTAGAGGATGGGGAAATACAGCGAGTTCCCCGAGTAGAGCAGGACCTTGTCATTCTTTCCGAGACCGAGATCCTGTAAGCCCTTGGCCAGCCTCTTGACGAGGATCTCGGCCTGGTCCAAACTGAAGCAACGAGCTGGACAGTCGGCGTCGAAGAATTGTGGGCGACGACGCTGTTCCCGGTCTCCCGACGAGAATATAAAGGTCGCCAGGTCAACCGGCGGGATGTCGACCGTGTATCTCGAATCGTGCCGAGTCGCCATGTTGTCGGTCCAAGGACTCGTTTCGCTTCTAGCTATCAATGGCTCCAGAGTCCCGTGCACAGGCTGCTCATCGTCGCCAACGAGGTTTTGTAGTCCAGTTCCCAACACAACCGCATCATACTTATACGGTGAATTGGAGTCACATGGTTTAAACGAGTCCTTCCTAGCTCCGCATTTGGCCTGGTGGCCTCGGCTTTCTGCAACTCGGCGCCGCTCCAGGGTTCATATGGATTACTATTCCTCCTTTTCACTCCAATAATTGAGATCCTCGTCTCTGAGCGAGGCCTAGTCCTTGCTCGTCGAGTGCTAAGTCCTCGGATACTTCTGCGTAAAATTGAAAGAAGGTGAAACGGAAATACCCATAGAAACTTGCATTTACATTGTTTTTTTTTATGATCTATGGCGCCTTGGTGAGGCTCAGTCCATTAAATTCGGCAGAAATAAGACGTTGCTATTCCTTGACCACTTCGGTCAGTAGATCTTCCGGCCACCGCGCCAGGTCGACCCCGTTCCCCCGGGTTCCCACGTTGAATCCCAAGCGCACCGTGTCCGGCGGAAACTGCAGGACGGGCTTGGGCGTCCGAAAGACGAGTCCGTCCAAGGCGCCCGACGTCCTCTTCTCGAAAAACTCCGGGTTGAGGACCGTCTTGTCCTTCTTCATCATCTCAATGTACCGCGGGATCGTGTAGTTCATGCTGTGGTAGTGCCGGAATGCCGCTCGGCCGTTCCTGGTCCAGAGATCCTCCCACACTTCCGTGGGGTACTCCCCGACCGTCAGGGCGAGCCACTGGTTGTAGTAGTTGAGGGAGGTGTCGACTAGGTACGAGCCGCCCTGGGAGGCTCGCTCCATGAGTGCGTGCAGCGCGCCACAGGTCCCGATGATGCCGGTACAGTAGTCTGAATTGGGGAACACAGGCGTCACGGCCTCGTCGTGGCCCATGGCGCGACCGTAACCCATGGACACGCCTGTGTGAGCGTCGCTGATCGGCTGCCACCCACTCCGGTGAGACAGAGGGCCGTCCCACCCGAAGCAGTTCTCGCGGATGTAAATGATCCCTCGATCCCGGTCCTTAACCATATCAAACACCTGGTCTTGGCCAAAGCCGTATTTAGTCAGGACGTCAGGTCGGTAACCGTTGACCACGATATCCGCCTCCAAGATGAGATTCTTCAGCTTCAATCGGTTCCCCTCCTGCCTCAGATCCAGCGAACAGTTCCACTTGCCCCAGTTGAGATCGGGCTGCAGACCCGAAAAGTCCGGGAGGTGAGAGGCCGTGACTCTCATGACACTGGCGCCGAGTTCCGCCAGCCCTCTCCCAATCGCAGGTCCCGCGATCACCCTGGTCAGATCGACGACCTTGAGACCAGCAAGCGGTCGTTGCGGACTGGTGAAGCTGGTCGACGGCCACCACCCGGCCGCTTGGCTGGATCCTTCATACCTGGTAATCCGATACAAGTCAACCGTGGAGTTTGCTTTACCTTGAGGACTGGCGGCGTACTCGTCAGGGCTCAAGCAAATGGTCGCAGCCTGGCGATACTTTTCGCCGAGGATCTCGTCCCATTCCTCCGCGGTCTTCTCCTTCATGACCTTGATAAACGGGGTCCACGAGTCCTCGATGGTCGTGATTTCTGGCATGTCCCTGGGCATCCCAGCGGCCTCGAGCGACGGATCCGGATTGAGGCTGCCGTGGATGTGGAACCACTTGCCATCCTTGGTCTGATAAATGTTGTAGGCGGCGCGGCGATACAACGTTGATGCCATCTGGTGGAGATCGCAGTTTGGAAAGTACTTCGCATACCTCTCTGTGAGATCGCGGATTGGCGTCGGTGATATGGGAGCAGAGAAGTCCGGGTCGACCTCGAGAACGATCGACGACATGAAAAACAACTGTGCGTGGTCCGTGTTGACGCGGATCTCCTTGGGGGGTTCCTGGTACTTTCTGCCCAGTAACGCGTTGATCATGACAGCCTCGAAGCCTTTCAGGGAGGCCACACTCTCGGCCAGTCTCCAGTTGATGGCGATGCTGGGCGCTGCTGAGCCTTCGAATTTGACGTGCTGGGCCAGGTCTTTGCATTCTGCCGGCAACGAATGCTGCAATCGGGTCCCCAAAATCCCAGTCTCCAGCAACGTCTTGCATTCCTCTGGCACCGAATAGGGCTGCAACCGCTCTGGCTTCATCGTGGTTGATTTTTTACTTCTTTTTCTGGCGTGACTTGTCCTGTCCCATGTAGACAATGTTCGTTCGTCCTGGACATAAGTATATCAACGCAGGGGTATGCGGGGAGGGGGATGGACCGCCCACACAGGAACCCCAGGACTGGAGCAATCTGCCTCGTCCATGATAGACCAAGCAAACAAAAGCCTTTGCCGACGTGGGCCAGGACCGAAGTCAATCCCCACCTGATATTCACGAGGCCGACGCAGACCCTTCGGGAGTGACGCCGAGGCCTGCTCGGCGGACCTCTCGGCCAGTTGTGACCCTACTTGCTGGGGTTTTTCTTCGCATCTTGCCCGCTTAGTAGTTCTGTACCCAGGAGAAGCAGAAGTTGGCATAGTGTTCCATTCCATTGTTCTAACAGTAGGCTTTTGGGTCGTACCACCGTCCTGTCTGGTCCAGTGACCGCCCATTGTTTTTTGGTTGATTTTGAAAAGCCAAGGTAACAAAGTAGCCAAGGTTAGTTTGAATTTTAAAGATGTCGCCAAAGCTGCCCTTTGAATCAAGTCGATATCGCTCTTGTTCAAGTGCCACCATTTCGAGTACTACAGATGGTAAAGCTCTTTTACCAATCAACACATTATGTGCTCACGCCTCTTGAGACGGATGGTTTTGCTGGAATTCCTGCTTTTCTACACTGGGGGAAAAAAATACAAGAGACGCCAGTAGACGAGTGAGGGGTTTCTTCCTCGTCCTCTATGATAGAAGTCATGCGTTTGACACCACCAGGCAGGCACATGCCGAGACGGGCTTGACATATTCCATTCTAAGCAGGACGGGAAAAGGATCGTCTTTGTGTCGTGTTGTGCCGTGTCGCCACCAGGCCCGCAGATCACAAAGAGAGTCTTGCCCACCCGTCGTAGATCGCACGTATAGGCGGGTTGGCTACAGGACCGCCTCCTTGGCGAGAAACTTTTCCGGAATGTCGACGTGTCGTGCGCGCAGGTACTCGGCCAGATTCTACCACAGAGTATCAGTAAGCGAGGCCCAATCTTACACTCAGAGGTGGGAATGGCAACAACGAAAAAGGACTCTTACCTTGCCCAGCGCGTCCATCTTGACCGAGGTGCTCACGCCCGCGCCCAGGAGACCGTGAATGACAAAGTGGACGGCGTGGAGGTGGGGAATTTCGCACCGCTCGATGTACGTCTCGGGGGTTGCTTCGCGTGCGAGGAGCACTGATATCATTAATTGGGTTAGACATAGTTTCTCTCCAATACGAGCTGTGTCGCAATTTCCAGACGGAGAGAGGACACAAGAACACAACTCACCTCGCAACCGCTCTGTCGTGAGGAGACTCCTCAGCCACTCGAACTTTTCTGACTCGTGCAGACCCCTGGGAATGAAGAAGCCGACGTTGACGTTGGCGCCCTTGTCGCCGCTGCGGGCGTAGACGGCAAGTCCTAGTGGCGCCTTGACGGTTGGTCCAAAGGAGGACAACGGCACCGGATCCACGGGCTGGTAGTCTGGCTGTTGCGGGAGGAGGTGGACGGGCGTGTAGGCTCCGGGTCGTGCAACGGGTATGCCTTCCCCGTCATTGCCACCTTGTGAAGCGAAGAAGACGCGCAGCTGGACGTGGCTCTGGTTGACCAGCCCCGGGAAGTACGTCGACATCTGTTTCGGTTCCGCTGTCCTAAAGTCCACGTTGGCCGTGAGGCCCGGGTACCCGGACAGCTGGTTGCTCATGAGAGGGCCGAGGAAGCGCCCTGCCCTCAGGTACTGTGGGTCTTGAGCCTGTGCGAGGACTCGGAGCTGCAGTGTCGCTTCGAGCTGGTTCTCTGGGTTCTCCTTGGGTGTTCCGTAGAGCTGGAAATCCAGGACGTCGTACTTGTTGTCGTTCAGTATTTTGCGGGTCATGATCTCGAAGCTCTGCGCCTTTTCCTTGTAGTCTAGGCCGGTCACGTAGACGGATACTTCGGCCTGGTAGCCTCCCAGCGCCATGATGGCAATCTTGAGAGTTTCGGGAGCCAAAAGGCCTGTAGAATAGATCAGTTAGCCCGCAAGTCATTGTTTCGCACGAAAAGTATCCAGTAAGACGTGACAAGCGAAGCCAAGTGTTGAGGAAAAACACACCTTTGAACCCCGAAACGTACACCTTGTCCTTGTCAACCTGCTCGACTTTCAGGCCCGACAGATCGGCAATCACGTCGGGGTTGTAGTAGAATTGTCCTTGAATCTCGTATAGCAGCTGGCCCCGGACCGTGTCCACCGTCACACTGGGTTTCACGTTAGTCGGCGCACCACACGATTGTGCTCCCGGAGAAGAAGGTGGATAGAAGGACGCACACGCCATTTTGATTCGAGTGCTTCTGAATCACACTCGTCCCGTCTATTGCTATCGCGGCAACCGGGTAGGATAAGTCATAGTAGTTGGGGAAGAGACTCTTAAACCCTCCAAAGTTGCCTCCAGTCTGTGTCAAGGATCGTTTAGCTGGCTGTAGATATCCTTGAGGCGATATTCGAGACAGAACCACTTACAACGTAGCATCCGCATTCAATCAGATGTCCGGCAACCAGGGAGCCCGCGAGTTTGTCGACGTCGGTCCGCTTCCAACCGTGCCACCAGGCGGCGACACCCATGACCTTGTGGCAGAACTAGTCAGTCCCACATCCGTGCACCAGAACGAGACGTTGCTACTCACCGTGCTCGCGTCCGTGCATCGTCCACAGATGACAATGTCCGCCCCGGCCTCCAATGCCTCGACAATCCCCCAACAGCCCGTGTACGCCAGGGCGAGGATAACATCCGGGTACTTCTGCCTCCAACTTCGAAAGTCCCCGGTCGCCCTCGTCAGGGGCTGTACATCGAGCTTATCGATCTCGGGCAGCAAGTTGTCGCCCGTCACATACGCGACTTTTTTCGAGCAACCCCGTGACACCAGGAGTTTTTGGACCTCTTGCGCGAGCACTTTGGGATTGAGACCGCCGGCGTTGACGGCGATGCGGAGGTTTGGGTTCCTGTAGTTGATGTATTCGTCCAGAGCGTCGCGTAGGGAATACAGGAACCCAGGCTCGTAGCCGCCTTTCTTGCCGTCGCGAACCTGGAGTGACCGTGAGGCCAAGTTGAACTGGGAAGCGTGAGCTATCAATCATTGTTATTTCTCGAGGGCGTTTGAAGGGACATACCTCTGAAAGCCAATCCCCAATGATGGCATCGACCGTTGTCTTACCCTTGAGCATCGACTTCAGCCCTAATTCATCCGAGCACCACCATTAGCTGTCTGTCCGTTCCATCCACGCGTCTGTTGATCTTGTTGTCTAGGAATCCAGGATATTATGCTCGTCACTCACCGTCCAATCGATCCCCCGTCGATCCAGACACGTTTCCAACCAGGACCGGCCGTGATCCTTTCCCTGTTAGATTGGTCGCCATATTGTGTCCGTTGGTCTGCTCAATATATATCTATTCTCACTGCATCGATCAGTCTCAAGAAGCGGAACTGGTTTTCGCTAACGAGAATCAAACACTCATGACAGATGTATGTTTTCTCTTACAATTCAAGCTGTCATCAAGCTCGTTGACATCTATGTCGTCTCTTAATTTTATTCCACGCTTCGCCTCGCCCAAGTTCCGTACACCTCGGCAATGGTGGCCGTGTAACTCCAATCTTTCCCCATTCATGAGGTGAGGAGGTACAGGTACGTGGCTAGGGGCCTCTCGGCTTTTCTTCGCCGATGCTGGCTACTAGGGCTACTAGGGCTACTAGGCCACTACTAGTCACTACTTGTACTCTCTGTGGAACCTTACCCGAGCCTGGCGGCGCCTTGGAGTATCATTTCGGCCCGACAGTTCTACAGGAAGTTTCCAAAGCAAATTGTTGGAGAAATCTGTCTCTATTCGGTAAAGCATCCAGACAAGACAACTCACTATGACAGATACATATACTCGTAGAATGTGGCTGGTCTCACGGCGCAACATGATTCTTCAACCATTCAATGATGAGGCCATCAGTCTTTCTTCGCACCGCAGGATCCGTCCATTTGGAACCCATGGCATAGATATGGAGCTGGCCCCATTCGATGACCAACTTGGATTCCATGCCGGCCGAGTGGCACATCTGCGCCCATTGCTCCGAGTCATATCTCGCGAACTCGGCGCCGCCGGTGAAAATGAGCTGCGGGCTTAACCCTCTGAGCTCTTCGGGCTGGCGAAACAGGGGATTGACCTCTGGAGATTCGGGTGGCCAGTCCCCGATAAACATCTGCACCAGTGCTGGCACCGCCTTGTTGGCCATGACAAAGTAGTCGCTTTCCACGGCTGGGTTCCCTCCTACGTAGGCCTTGAGGGCCATGTCGATCCAGGGTGAGATCAAAACTGTTGCCGCCGGCTGTGGTAGATTGAGTCGCTTGGCTTCGAAGCCCGCGAGGATGCAGAGTCCACCTAGATAGCCGGGGGATGTCAGTGCGGGAGACGGTGTAAAAGGGACATGCAGAGCATTAGGGCCTGCTCACCTCCAGCAGAATCCCCCATGAATACGATATTCTGGGCCGCGACGCCATTGTCGAGCAAGTACTGATATGCTTGGATGAAAGCATTCCTCTGTGCTGGGTGGCTCGCTTTGGTTGTGAGGGCTACCGAACTCGCTTTAGTTCTCTCTCTCTCTCTCTCTTCTCTCGTAAAAAAAGCTAGCACTCCCAGATTGGACTCAAACTCACGGTATTCGACGCTGTAGAACGCCAGATCGAGATCCCTTCGCGCCGACTCCGCAACCCACCGTTCCAGATAGTTGACATACATCCTGGCCTCGCCACGGGCGTAGCCTCCCCCATGAGCGAACAAGACGACGCATCTCTGCTTCTTCCCGTCGTCTTTCGGTTGCGCAAAGTCGGATAGCCCTCGTGTCCCCGGGATGAGGTACGCGGGCACCTTCTCGTCCACCTGGCGCGCTCGTCGCGGAGACAGATTCCCCACGGGGAGCCGGTGCGTCAAGTCTGGAAAAGTCAGAGCAGCCGCACCGAGGTATGCTCGCTGGATCTGGAGTCGTAGGGACTGGAAGACCGGGAAGTGTGGTAGGAGCAAACGCCGTAGAAGCACGAGCGAGATCTGGGAGAAGAATGTGTGTATGAAGAGTAATGTCCTCAGCGGATGTTTCAGGAGGAGGAGGACGAGGTTCGCCATGGTTGCATAGGAAAGAATAAAGATTACATAGACAGTCTGGGCGATTTCATGGAAGACAGACGGTTTCCCCAGCTTTTACTTCTCAATAAATAAAAACTCGAGCGAGTGTCCTGGACTGAGGAGGGGTTTGCTCAATCAAGATTCGAACCGGTCTCGGTATTGCCCGCCTGGCCTGAACCGAAGCGTCGTTCTCGTTTCCCATCCCAGTCGGACCCCCTGGGCCGAGATTTTGTAGAACTGCTACCCCGGCTCGGCTGCTCGCGATGATATCATCCATCTCCCTCCTCTATCTATATCTGGGACGGTGCTGTCGATACATCTGTCCTGCCTGACACCACAAAGACTCAGTCTTATGTTCACACTCGGTCATGGCATCCAACGGAGATCTAATCGAGCTGAAACTCGACGGCGTGGTCCGATACACCCTACGCACCACTGATACAGGCGACACCATAATAGATGCCAAATGGATCTCAACGCGCACCCTCGCCACCGGCCAGACAGGAACCGGTCGCGCCGTTCGACGAAAGACGACGACGACAACGCCCGAGGAATCATCGAGCGGAAAATCCGGCTTCGAGGGAGCGTGGACCATCGAATATTATGGACCGGATGGCAATTTGGCAGTCACGCCCTTCCTTCTAGATCTGGTTAAAAAGGGAGAGGTATTGTCGTCCACTTTTTGCCATGTTCCTTTTCAGGTTTGCTGGAGCCCCGTGGGCGGGCGAGTATTTTCACGTATACATATACACATGCTAACCAAATAACCCTGCTGCTTGTACAGATTTATCATGGAAAGTGGGCAGACCCGAAAGGGCGACCTTTGCTGGAAGGCTTCGGCTTCGAGGACGACGGGAAACTGTACATGAGATATGGAGATAGATGGGTGTAAATCACAGCCGGGTATTTGCGTGTGCAGTCATGTTGCAGTACGGAGCGTGCGTCGCTGTGGACTTCATCTTTGTCATCGAAAGAGTCTTGGAGGAGACTGATGGGGGCACAATACACCGTGCTCTATAATGTATCGAATCTCTCCATGGCCTGCTTCTCGTCGTTCATTCGCTCTAGCCGAATTGCTCTACACAGACACTACCAATCCACATGGCCCATCGGCCAGCCGACGGAGTCTCGTCCTCTGTGTTTCATTGAGACTCGGCCTTGACAGCCAACCGGTGAGACGTGCGCAGCAAGATATCCTGCAGCTCATCCAAATACTCCCCGTCTGCGTAGTCATCCTTTCCAAGGTCCATATATCCCTGGGGCGCGGCGTCCCGAGGAACAATACCAAACGATCGCCCTGTCATGAGATATTTTAGTCCTGCACGGCTTGAACTGACAATGCTGACAAGATGATGCTCACCATTTATCGATGGATCAGAGGCGATTTTGATCCACGCGCCAGCTGCGTCCTTGGCTTCGGCAAAAACGATCCCTTTGCTTTTGCAGTACTCTTGTACCGTGGGGCTGAGGATCGTGGTGGCCACATACCTGCGATGAAAAGAGTCAGAATGGGAGATCGGTCTCGCTCAGCTATCAAGGAACGACTTGCCATGGCCCAGTGAGGTTCATGCGAACCCCGTCGACAACGGTGGTCCTTCGAATGCATCTCATCAAACCCCGACACCCCCATTTCGATGCCATGTATTGGGGAATGCCAGGGACATCGAGGAATCCCACGAGGCTTGCGTTCACGATGAGACAGCGATCGTGACTTGCGTCAAGGGGATGCTTCACGAAGTAGTGGCGGGCCAACTTCATCGTGTACATGACTCCGAGGAGGTCAATGTTGACAATCTTTAGCTGGGGCTTGACCGGTTCGTCCGTGTCTGTCACTCTATCAGAATCATTTTCGCCGTCATGGGCATCACGCTCCAGCCCATGCTCGCACCTTCGATGGTAAAGGCATCATCCGGCCCACTGATGCCGGCATTGGCGACGACAACGTCGATGCTCTTCCTGGGAGAGGAACTCAGAGCGAGCTTGAACATGGCCAGCTGGTCCTCCCAGGACGTGACATCGCAGCGAATGAATTTGGCGTTCCTGATCCGACGGTCAGCCAGATCGATGTCTCGGCAAAGACAGGAAAGACTGATGCTGAGTTCGACACCAACATCACGAACGTACGGGGCCAGTTCTGTCTCCAATTTCGTTCCGCTCTCTTCATCCAGGTCTCCAAAGGTGACGTGGGCTCTTAAGATGCTCGTTAGCGTAGAATATATGGGGATGGACCAGTAGGAATAATGCTTGCCCTGCCGCGACGAAAGCCCGAACTCCCTCCTCACCCATCCCCTTTGCACCTGCCACGATTTATTAGTTGATGACTACTCGTTGATAATGTATTACATCAGACGCACCACCAGTAATGACGACACCCTTGCCCTCGAGGTTTGTCGGCGGAGCAACATTCTTGCAATCGACAACACCCTTTTGATACGCAGCGTAAGCCATGGTGTGCTGTTCTTCCTTTGGTACCGATCTAGGCTGACGAGAAGAAGGGAGTTTTAAGTGAAGGGTCCTTTTGAACGAGCAAGGTGAGGCCGATGTCTAGAGTGATATTGAAGATCTTTGTCCGAGGAGCCATCGGCGCCGAACGAGCTGGGCACAAGGTTGAATATGACCGAGGGATCGGTCCGACCTTTGAAGAGAGGTTGAAAAAGGATGAACGAGTGAAAACAGGAGCTCCAAGATCAAGGACAGCCGTTTCCAGGTGCTTCTGCATTTCTTCTTGCTTCATCATGGCGACCAATTCACCCGCTCTGAATATTCCTCATTCGTTGTCCACCGTTTCTGTCTCGGTGATTGAGACAACTTCACGAATCATTGCAAAAACCAATATCGTCGTCCAGCCGCATATTCAGGGCCATGACGAGTTCAACTGCCCTTGCTATTCCTTCCTCATCGACCACAAGGGAACGGGGAAAAAGATTCTTTTTGACCTAGGAATCCGAAAGGACCCCGAGAATCTCTCGCCCAGAACATACGCGTTCACCAAGGCGATGACCATTGCATCGGAACAGAATGTGGCGGACATCCTAGGGGACAAGGTGTCCGAGATCTCCGAGATCATCTGGTCACATCATCACTTCGATCACATAGGAGATCCGTCAACGTTTCCGTCCTCGACCAATCTTGTCGTGGGGCCGGGTTTCAAGGACGAATTCCTGCCCGGTTACCCAGCTAACGAGGAATCGTGGATCAAGGAGAGCGACTATGCCGGCCGTGAACTGGTCGAGGTGAATTTCAAGAAGGAAGGTCTGAAATTGGGCCAATATGACGCCTTGGACTATTTTGGAGATGGATCCTTCTACCTTCTCGATTGCCCTGGGCATACCGTTGCTCATATCATGGGTTTGGCTCGGACCACACCTGACAGCTTCGTCCTCATGGCTGCTGATTGTTGCCATCACGGTGGAGAATTTCGACCGAACCCACACGATCCGTTACCTGACTCGATCGATCTACCAGCGACCGGCCAACGTAAAGCACGAGTTCATCGAACGCCCTGCCCTGGTTCGCTGTTCTTGAAGCTGCATCCCAAGAATTCTCCGACGGAGCCCTTTTATGAACTCATCAATCCACGTAATTCTGACACGGTCCGCGAGGCGATGCGAAGCCAACGGAAGCTGGAGGAGTTTGACGCCAGTGACAACGTGCTGGTTCTCACGGCCCACGACTCGGACGCGGCCGAGATTATCGATCTATATCCCAAGACGATCGATGACTGGAAAAGTAAAGACTGGAAACGGCAACTTCACTGGGCATTTCTCAATGATTTCCAAGTCGAGTAACCTAGGTCATCGTTAGGTATAATATAGGCCACGAGGAGACAGCCTAGACGTTAGCGTTCAAGCTCCGTTACTAGCTATAGAGGGTTCACAAAGCGCCCTAGTGGTATCGATTGGGCGTGAGATGCTCTGCACCGACTGGCTTCAACCATGGTGTACATGTACCGGGTACAGGGAGCAGTTGATGGAATGGACGAGGGCTCCTAGCTGACCTTAGGCCGCTGATAATGCTCATGTTATCGATTGTTGAGCCTGTAATAAATTTCTCCGAGACATGTTTGGTCCTTGTCTGGCGGGCTCAACGAACCCTTTCCCTCAGGGGTGCCGGGGGCGAGGGATACGAGTAGATGCATGCCATGTCCAGCACGTGAATTTGATAAGTCTCCACTCGGTATCAAAACATCCCGGAACCGAGTCACTTCCGTAGCGAAGGGAGAAAGGAGAAAAAGCCAGAGATTACCCCTGTACTTAGAATTATCTACAGGTTATGGGCCATGCCCTGGAAAGGAGTATGACTCTTCTGAAGAGAAGTGCAGGATTTGGTGATTTGATAGGGCGATCGTGTCATTGCACAAAGTATAGCAATGGTGAAGATGGAGATGCCAAACTGGCATGGGATTTATTTATTCGATGCCAAGTCATTGGCTGTTCGGGTTGTGGAAGAAAACTTCACCGAGTGGCAGCCCCTAGAACGACACCGCCATTGGTAGACAGGGGAGCCTAGAGGCCCGTAGCGTGTCCACCGAGTGCGTTGCCAGTTGGTGAGTTAGCTAAGGTTACGGGCGATGAGCGGCCCCTAGCGAAGTCCACTGGTCGCCCAGATCTCGCTGGGCCTGGGCATTGTTTTTGGGCTCCGCTCCTCCTCAAACTAGGCATCATCTATTCTACCAAACGCCCTGGGAAATGTCCATCGCAAATTTATCCTCATCCCACCCGCTAACCACCCCCCGTATCCGATCCCATGAAACGATTGTTTATTATATCTTTCGAAAAATCCGCCATAGATGTCTTTCTCTATAGAGTTTCTCCCTGCCCTTTGTTGGTTCAGGGCAATTTCCTTCTTCTTTCGCGGGCCTTGTTCCTGCTTTGAGTGCTACTAGGTCTTGATTAATACATTCACATACTTCGTTTCACTTCTTGCTCAGTTCACGCGTACCAAACATTTCTTAAAGTCTTCAGCCATTATCACACGCGGACAATCTCCCAGACCTCTATTCCCCTCCAAATTCCCCTTCATATCGGAGTTTGCTAGCCCAGCGGAGTCCAGAGCTGAAATACAGTAAGCCCTTTCTGCGGCAATACGAGCACACAAATCCATCCCGAACGCCTCCATCCTAACTCAGTCCGAGGATTGTACAGCCTCGAGCGACCCACACAAACCCTACTACGAGTCGCAGATCCTTCCAGCATCAGAGATCTTTCGGAGACTGCACTTTGCTTCGTCGTGGTGCATCTTCGCAATGGGTCTGTTCGGCAAAAAGACAACGAGCTCAGCTTCCAACCCCGTCGAGCCAGCCCAACGAATCAATGTCGAACCTGAAGATGCCGCTGTCGTACCCAGCCTGAGTGTATCGGAGGCAGACTCATTGGAGAAGAGTAGAGATTTAGAGACAACCATGGTGGATGAGAAAGGACCCGAGGCCAACCAGAAGATACAAGATGCTTCCCCAGTTGCGAACCACAATGCCGACTCTTCGCAAGGAACAGCGTACCTGCCGTCAGAGAAAGAGGGGAAGACCCAAGAGGATGTTCAGGTTGAGAGTGATACAAAGAGCACAAGTTCCGTGAGTGTGGTTGGTCCCGCGGGCCCAGGCGACGATGATGAAGTAGTCTATCCAGGCGGAGTGAAACTGGCACTGATCTGCCTGGCACTTTGTCTGTCGGTATTCTTGGTCGCGTTGGATAACACCATTATTGCAACGGCCATCCCCAAAATTACAGATCACTTCAAGTCCTTGGGCGATGTCGGTTGGTATGGATCGAGTTATCTGCTCACCACTTGCGCCTTGCAGTTGTTCTTTGGAAAGTAAGTGCCCATGCAGATCACGCCGGCGGGCATGGCTAAGTTTATATCACAGGCTATACACCTTTTACTCTATCAAGACAGTATATCTGGTCTCCATTGTCATCTTCGAGGTTGGGTCGGCCGTTTGTGGTGGCGCTCCGACCTCCGATGCACTGATCGTCGGTCGTGCGATAGCCGGTGTCGGTTCGGCTGGCATTTTCAGTGGTGCGTTGGTGATTATCGCATACACTGTCCCGCTGAAGAAACGACCCATCTACACTGGTATCATTGGAGCCATGTATGGGATTGCCTCGATTGCCGGTCCGTTGCTGGGTGGTGCCTTCACAGATGGGCCAGGTTGGCGTTGGTGCTGTAAGTGACCTTTAACGGTTGTCTATCCTGTCCCGGCTGATCGATTGTTTAGTTTACATCAACCTCCCTCTTGGTGGCGTTACGCTCGTGGTGATTTTCATCTACTTCCACTCTCCGGTTCGTAAGGCTGAGCAGAAAGTACCACTTCGAGAACGTGCGCACCAGCTTGACCTGGGCGGCACTGCGCTCTTCATTATCGCCATTGTGGTCTGCCTGCTTGCCTTGCAATGGGGTGGCTCTACCTATGCTTGGTCAAACTGGCGGATCATTCTGTGTCTCACACTGTTCGGCGTACTTACCATCGTCTTCGTCATCCACCAGTACTTTATGAAGGAATATGGCACCATTCCTTTCAACATCATCTCGCAACGAAGCGTGGCATCTGCATGTTGGTTCTCATTTACCCTGGGTGCCTCATTCTTCGTTCTGATCTACTGGGTCCCGATCTGGTTCCAAGCCATCAAAGGTGCATCTGCGTTCAAATCGGGGATTATGTGCTTGCCCATGGTCCTGGCCCTTGTCCTGGCAAACATCGCCACCGGGGTGGGCACGACAGCGATCGGGTACTACGCTCCGTTCTATTTTGGATGTGTGGTTCTCTCTGCTATTGGGTCAGGTCTTTTGACGACTTTTGAGACCACTACCGGCCATGAGAAGTGGATTGGATATCAAGTCATATACGGGTTCGGGGTTGGCCTCGGCATGCAACAAGCTCTCATCACCGTCCAGACCGTTCTACCTTTGAAGGATGTGCCTACTGGCACTGCGATGGTCATGTTTATGCAAACATTTGGCGGCGCCCTGTTTGTCTCGGTTGCCCAAAACATCTTTAACAACCGACTCATGTCAGAAATCCCTAAACTGGCTCCAGGGATCGATCCAGCCATTATCTTGCACGTCGGAGCGACGAGTCTCAAGGAACAGATCCCAAAAGCGGCCTTGGCTGGGGTACAGACGGCGTACAATACCTCGTTGACGCAGACATGGTATATTGCCGTGGCGATGACTTGTCTGCAGCTCATAGGGGCTGTATTTGTCGAGTGGAAGAGTGTCAGGGGCATGCAGCCTGGAGGTATAGCCGCATAGGGGACACTGATGAAGCCATACGCTTGAGTTTTTTGTTGAGCATTTTTGCCGGGAGTTGGCGGCGATATCATGCTGGCGATTTGCATGTTGTGCATCTATGTCCAATGTTTGAGTTGCATTGGAAAAGCGAGCAATTGACCACTGCAAGGTCTTGGATATGGTCCGATGGCGATTGATGCTCACGATATGGGGTATCGTGA